TTTGTAATCATCAAAATTAAACAAAATAAACATTTGAAATATATGAGTTTGTATGTAATGTATGAATATAATATACAAGTTTCACTTTTTAAACGGAATTACTGAAATAAATCTACTTTTTCATGATATTCTAATTTTATGACCAGCACCTGTATACTGATTAAATAAAATAAAAACCAAAGCAGAGGCAGATGTTTTCTTTAAACCTGCAATTTTCACATTCTCACAATTAATTTTCGTTTTCATTTTGTGAAATGATCTGTGAGACACTGAACATTTTGTTAATAAAATAGACATTTTTAATGCTGCAGTATTCAGACATTTTCACTGTGTGTTTGTAGACTTGATCCACTTCTAAAAAACAGAACCAATTTTATGAGTTAAATTAAAAACAATAAAACACGCACAAAACAAATGCAGCTCACATAAAATTGTGGTTCCAGTCCCCATTATTTCAGAGACAAACTGGCGTTAGAAAATATATTTAAAAAAACAACAACCAACAAACACAAATAAAAAGGAGTATCCTCAGCAAACAGATGGTTTTTACAGGCCACAAAAAGAAAACAAATGGTAAGCAGACAGCTGTAACCTCTACCAGAATTTCACTGTAACTCCAAAAACATGTAAAACATAAATCACCGAGCAGTTTACAAACATGTAGAGCAGTAAAACACACACTGAATACAAACTGCTGCAGCTGAGTGTGTCCACCAGGGAGTTGGTCAGTCCTGTCATGACGTTTGAAAGCAAAAAAAACAACAACTGATTCCTGCTGACGGCTTGAACGATGCAGAGCTTTTCCATTTCCCCTCTCTTCCTGCCGAGGGATTTGTCAGCGTCTTTGTCATACACGTTCAGTGACGAAGGCACAACGTGACAACCCGACGCTCTTTTCAGGAACAGTAAAAGCATGTCCGCTAGCCCGAAGCAGGACATGAAAAACAAAGACTGAGCGAGGCTCCAGAGGAAAAAGGGAAAATTGGCGGAGCGGCGAGACACGGGCTCCACGAGAGTCTGGCACGCGCACAAGGCGGCGAACAAGACGAGACTTCCCAAGAAGAAGCACGAAAGCACTTTGAGCCACTCTCCAACTCGAGATCTGGGCTGCATCACGTAGAGTCCGATCTGAACTCCTGTTAGATAGATGGAGACGTAGCCTACTAGAGAGAATATGCCCTCCTTGTTAGCGTGCACAAAGCCCTTCTCTCTGTCATCGTTGCGCAGGATGAAAGCTTTCAGCTCGGACGTCTCCAGAATAAACTGATAAAGCCCGCTGATCAGAAGAGCGAAGACCCACAAGTGCCTGGCAGGTAAAACAGTCAAAAGACCAGAAGCCAGAATTCTGACGACGGCTAAAGTGAAGAAGAAATTCCAGTGGACGCCGTACTCCGTCACATGTTCGTGATAGCCGGTCATTTTGACGCTCACTAACCGTCCCGCGCCTAGAGCCAGCAGAGGCCAGACAGAGACGACCTGCTTTGTGAAATAACTCATCTTGGACCCTGAGATGTTCTTCCTCCTCGCCTCTGGACACACAAGGGCGTTCGCAAACACAAACCCTCCAACTCCAAAGTCCATAACCCCCGTGCCGTAGGTTTCTGTTTTAGCGTAGCGCCTYGGAAAGACGGCAAAGTCCACTGCAAGGATGCTGATGGCTGTTTTCACGTTCACAAACACCCTGAAGAGAGTCACAAACGGGACCTGGTCGGACTGAGTGTGACTCTGCAGGAAACCGCTGACAGACGTCTGCGAATGCTGAGCGTGGAAGCTGCTTCGATAGATGTAGAGAAACATAGAAGCCGAAGCAAAGGTCAGGCTGACGGCGACCTGGAGAAGAACGCTGCTCAGAATGGTACATGACAGGACCAGGGGAAGGATCAGCACGCAGAAGTCAAGCARCAGGTGGGAAGTCATTGGAAAAGGCAGAGGCAGACTTCCTTTAAYCTGCTGGCAGAGTATAAAGATGAGCCCTCTGTTCATGAAGCAAACTGGRGAGAGAAATGATCCCAGCGCCACCTCCATTAAACTGGTCCCATTGAGATTACTGACAAATGCTTCCTTGAGGTCCTTTTGATCCATAGCCTATAAAAACATACAATATATTAACATATGAAAAAACCCGCTGATGGCAGGTGACGTCAAACATTCACCTACAATTTGTGACAAGCATTCAAAAGCACCACTTGACTTCCAGTTCAGACAGCCATAAAATAAAGCCAATCATAGCAGCAATTTATCAGTACTCACCGTGAACAGACGTGCAGTACGTCGTTTGATAAAGTTACCAAAGTAATCAGTCTATTCAGCCGTACCTACAGGTTTCTTCTTCGATTGTGATGARATACAAGTTGACAACCTGCTCTGCAGCATTGCTCTGCTGCTGGAAGCTGCTGATTCGAACACTTCCGGGTTTCAAGGCGTATTCAGAACAGCTCGGATTTTTGCCAACTTGTAAGGATTGCATTTTTATGTGTACATTATTATTGCTTTCTGGGTCACAAATAAACCTTCCAAGTGTCTTAATGACACAAAATAATATGAAAATAAAACAATATAAACAAGACCGCTCTTTCATTGTAAATATTAAGCTGTTCCTGTAAATACCAGCCGTGATGGCGTCACGGAGAGAGGGCGGGAATTATGTGCAGTTTGGGTACCGGCGAGGCAGTCGGACAGCCGAACTTCGTCCTTGAGCGAAGGATTGCTGAGAGCGCTAGACAGTTATTTTTAGTTTCCTGAAAGTAAAATAAACTCCTCGTATCGACCAGTAAAGTATAAAACTTTTTAAATAGTTTCGACTGACTTTTAAAACAGAGGGAGGCGACAAAATCAATGAGTTCTGCGGCCGGCCGACGTCACGTTCCGGTGGGATTCAGAGAAGAGACGGTAGGACCACTCCATACTTTTATCTTTGGCCGGAAGTTCAGAAACTTATTTTTTATTTTTAAATATTAAAGTTTATTTATCTTGACGTGGAACATTCTCATCAACCCGTGCTTACATATAATAATGTATGACAGATTTATACAATGATTTATGCATGAAAATATAAATCTTAAAGAGACACAAAACCTACCTGGAACCAGTCCCCACAAGTAACTTTTATTCATTAAAATTTATTTGACTTTTTAACAGTTGGCATTAAGTATACACACTGACTGACTGAGAAATTGTTTTGTATACTCGTAGTTGTTTACCAATATATATATATATATATATATATTATATCAAGGCAAAACAAAACATGCTCATTGTGGATCAGTATCATATGCCCATCTAACACAATCATTAATCTTTTAAATTATTATGAATGTTAGATGGTAATATGATATCACATCAAATTGACTTGTGAACTGAATTGAAATTGTATCATGTATGTATCCATACAAGTCAGTATAATATTTTATCGTGATAAAGCTGGTGATTGACACCCCTGTTATTTACACCAGAATTATTGGATGTAGGCTGTCTTATATTGGATTAAGTATGTCTGGACAAACTGGGTGTCTTCCAAACTCCAGGGAGGCTTCAGGTTCAAAYCGTGTGGCAGGATAAAGTGGATCACTATTTTTTTTCAGGCCGAAGTGATTGTAATTAATTTCACACTAACCTGGATTTTCCTAACAAGTAGTTCAGTCTTTAGCAAACACTTGAGTTTGTGTTTTAGGTCTTTAAAAATAAACATTCAGGAAGGACTTCTTTGTAAATGTGCTCTAAAGTCACTGCGTGGATCTGTTTGACCTTTACAGACAGCTGTGTGTTTTAAATATTTTTTCATTGTTGTGGGAATAACACAAACATTATCTGTTTGTGCTCATGTCATCTTTGACGTTTGTTCACCTCATGTTTCTACAGCAGGTGAAGGGACTCATCCAGAAAGTTGACTCWTCCCACCCAGCTCTGAATGATTCCCTGCAGGGGGAAGTCCAGGCCTTCCTCACTGATGAAGACCAGCTGCACACTTACGATGACCTCACTAAAGTCAGCCCGGTGACCCCAACAACAGGTACCAAATATAAAAAACATCTGAAGCTTGTGCAGAATTTCTAGGGCTYTGTTAGACCTGCTACCTTTGAGTTCACCTCTTCAGAGACTGACAGAAGTGATACAATCTTCATTATATGTCATCTTGGTTTTTGCTGTGCGTTCTTTCCTTTTATCAAGACAAAAGCACCAGGAATGATCGATGTGTGACTTGTTACCGTTTTGCTGCAATGATATGAGACAAGTTCCAGTTAAATGTCAGAATCTTTACTTCCTGTTTGGATGGTTTCATAGTACAAAAAACGTCAAGGTAGATTAAAGTTATTCATTAGTTCAGCCTTCAGGGGGTAAAAACTCACCAGTACAGTTTGGAAACAGCAGAGGTCAGCGCTGCTGTGGCACTTCATGATTTATTTTTATTTTTATTTTTWTTTTCAGTGTTAAAATGTCTGCAGGCCAGGTACAGCGTGAAGGTGTTTTACACCCACGCTGGCTGCACCTTGGTGGCTCTGAACCCCTTCCAGCCCATCCCGGACCTTTACTCTCTGGATGTGATGAAGGAGTATCACTTCGCTCCTCAGCCTCAGGTATTTACCACAGCCTCGACCAACAGGAGGGCGGTGTTGCAGTGCAATTATTTATATTTAAGGGGTTGGACCTTCTCAGTCCAACAAGTGAAACACACACACAATACCCCTGTGAGGATCTGTTTAATAAGTCAGGATTCTCTGGTTCACAGGAGTTTAAACCGCATATATTTATTGTGGCAGAAGAAGCTTACAGGAATGTTCAGGGTCAGCTGGAGCCAGTGAACCAGTCCTTGGTGGTCAGTGGTGAGAGCGGAGCTGGAAAGGTGAGTCAGCACATGTTAGAGTTTGTCACATTTCAAAATTAAAGGCCTAACATTCCTTGAAGGACTGCATATCAAACATCGCCTTTTACCAGGGCCGCACCGATCTTTAAAAAGTCTGATCTGACATTACAGACACCGTCAGGTCAGGTGTTATAAGGTCACARTACAGCTTCAGTCAGTGTTCCAGTTTTATTTTATTGAAAAACACTGAGCAATACTCTTGAAACAATACARCCTTGTTTTAACTGGTAGTGCTCACAGCAGAGCTAAAGGGGACAGTGGCTGATTTTTAAAMCGTTGTGGAGGAAAATGAGAAGCCGATCTTATTAAAGTATCGGCCGATCTTCCAAAATTRAGGAAATCRGTGCAGATAAATCAGCCGRCCGATTTAAAGGTCCACCTCTACCTTTTTATGCTAGAATTTGAAACTAAGATCGTCATATATTGAAAAATGAAGCTATGGTCAAATTTTGAAAGACAACCTCATTAAAGATGATCTGTTAGTGCTCAGGGTAGAAGTTGGGAACAACCCTAGTGTAAATTAGGGGTTAAAGTCATCTTTGTGTTCGTTTAGCTGTGGAGGCCATCTTGAATTGGGTTGACTCCAAAAGTCAATCAGTTGTAGACGTAAAGTACATCAAGTGATAATTTTCTAAGTTTCATTTGAATCTGTCCACTGGTTCACAAGACATCTTGCAGATAAACACACAAAGTCAGCTACCTTATCGTCCACCTTTCATGGCGGCAATAATCTAAAGTTTAGGATTAAACAGGTGTTGATATTTAACATAAACATCTTGGTTTATAAAACACATTTTCCAGCTGTTTGTTCTCTGTTAATGGTTTATTTTCTTCCAGACATGGACTTCTCGTTGTCTGATGAAATACTATGCCACGGTGGCAGCCTCCTCTTCAGTGTTGAAGAGTCAGGACACAGTRGAGAGGATAGAGAGGAGAGTGTTGGACTCCAATCCTCTGATGGAGGCTTTTGGTAAGCCAACAGATGAAGTTGTTTAAATGTAAAATGGTCCACAGCAGTCATTTATCAGCTGTGTGCAGGGAACGCCTGCACGCTGAGAAACAACAACAGCAGTCGCTTTGGGAAGTACATCCAGCTGCAGCTAGACAGGTACGCCCCCGTCTTTTCTCTCTATAAGCCCCTCAGATGACACCTGGTCAACCTGTCGTTCTCATATCAAGGTGTCAGCTGTTAGTGGGAGCGTCGGTGCAGACCTATCTRCTGGAAAAGACCAGGGTGTCCTGCCAGCCAGCCAACGAGAGGAACTTCCACATCTTCTACCAGGTGACTTATCAGTCATTTTTTGTTTTCTACCAAYAAGAGTTTTTACCTGTGTTCTAAGAGATGTTTGTGTTTCAGTTGATGAAAGGGGCCACAGACGAGCAGAGAGCAGAGTGGAAGCTGCAACATGACCAGCGTTTTGTTTGGCTGCCAAATTCTGAAAAACAAGTTGAAGGTCAGTGCTCAGTCTTTTCCATAGTTTATAGTCCTGTTTTGTGTTTAAAGTATTTAAATGTACAAATAATCTTTATTTCGTAGAAGACGATTTCCACGAAACTGTCAAGGCAATGGCGCATCTGGGAATCGATGCAGAAAGACAAAAACAAATATTTAGGGTAAGACGAGCCTGTTCTTAACATAACTGGATGGATGGATCGCGGAGGGAAAACAGAAAATCGAATAACACATTTAATAAATACATATTTAAAAATAAAATGACAATCATATGCTCAGTACAGTGACACAAAAATTAAATAGATTAACGTACAGGGTGAGTCAAATGTCTCAAAACACCCTTTTATTTCAGAAAGAAAAGGGAAAATTAAAATCTTTTATGTCCAGAACATGGCCGCCATTTTGAAAGCCACCATATTGGATCAAAGTCTAATTTTTTCAATGGGAAGGTGGACAGAATAGCTGGAGCTGAACACAGTGGTGTTCCGGACATAATAGTCCCCCTGACCCATGACTTCAGATGTTTCGTTTTCTCTTTTGTCTGAAATAAAAGAGTGTCCTGATACTTTTGACTCACACTGTTGTTTCTGTCTTCTGGTTGTTGTTCATCACAGATTTTAGCAGGAATTCTGCAGTTGGGGAATGTGAGTTTCTCCTCTTCATCCAGTGAATCACAGTCCTGCGATCTCGATAAACAGTCTGAAGGTATTGGGTTTTGAATCATAAGTTACGAATGGATTTACATAACTAAAGTGAGTCATACRCTTTGCTTTTATTTCCGTGCTTCATTCTGGATTGATCGTCTCTCTTCAAAGCRGGTATTAACAAATGTAAACAGCCACCTGCCTGTGTTTCAGACTTCYTGCAGAGAGCAGCTGAGCTGCTGCGTGTCTCTGCAGAAGAACTGCAGACGTGTTTAAGGGTGAGGACCCTGAAGGCGGGGAAGCTAAGCGTGTTCAAACCCTGCTCCCAAGCGGAGTGCGGCGTGAGGAGGGACTGCCTGGCCAAAGTCGTCTACGCCCAGTAAGAACAACAGCGGGGTCACCAAGTAGTTATGGCACTGTTTGTCAGCCAGGGATGATGTTTTGGTTAATGTACTGGTGATCCAACAGCTCTTATAATGAAATAACACATTTTATTTATGGCTTTTATTAATGTAGTTTTTGTGTTTTCACTCGTTATCTGATGTCATATTCAGTGTTTTTTTTCTCTCCAGGTTGTTTGAGTGGTTGGTTACTTTCATCAACAACAGTATATGTGCAGACAAATCCACATGGTGCAACTTCATAGGTAAATGCTTTATTTCTTCTGATAGCAGCGAAAATAAACGTTCAGTTTTATCTCTACCTGACAGTCCAGTCCTCTGTGATCTCTTCAGGAGTCTTAGATGTGTACGGCTTTGAGTGTTTCCAGAACAACAACCTGGAGCAGCTGTGCATCAACTACGCCAACGAGAAACTCCAGCAGCACTTTGTGGCTCATTACCTCCGAGCTCAGCAGGTTCAGGACTCTTATTGGCTTTTCCATTTCCTCGCTGAGACGCCAATTACTCAAAAAACAACAGCATGTTCTAAATAAACCTGTTCTAAATATGTGAAATAAATGGTACAATTTCTTTGTTATTTGCTGCTTCTCTTAGGAGGAATATGTATCAGAGGGTTTGGAGTGGTCTTTTGTCAAATATCAAGACAACCAGAGCTGTTTGGATCTTTTAGAGGGAGGCCCTGTCAGCGTGTTTTCTCTCATTAATGAGGTATGATAAATGTTTTCATAAGAGTAATTTTTCCTCCTTATTTTTTAAAGGGGACAAATCATTCAAAATCCACCGTTTTAGCCCTTAAATACATTTTGTTGTGTACTTGGAACAGTCTGCAGAAAAGYTGAATTTAGTCTCTCCYGGTGCTGCATAGGTATCTTTATGTTCTGTACGTATTTTAAACAATAACGTCACAGCATTTGCTGCAGAACTGCTAAACAAGGTTATGGATGATTCTACAGGTTTGTCGTCTTCATTCTCCTCTGACTCTGGGTCAGACTCTGGCTCCAACATGTAGGCTGGATAGAGTCTTCCGTTCTTGACATCTTTCAATCAGTTTGTAAATAAAAAAGGTTTCTGTGGTGTATCTCTGCTATTAAACTACAATGGAGGCACGGGATCATTACCAGTGAGGCCTGAAAGGAGGTTGAGGTGTGAAGTCTCTTATTTGAATTTAAAGAGACAGCCTCAAATCGAGTTGCTCTCAGATGCTCCGCAGAACGGGGGTGGAAGCAGGGCCTGTGGACCTACAACAACCAGGACCAAAGTATTACAGTTCCACTTTATAAAGACTCCAACTACGTGATTTGAATGTGAAAAGGAAGGATTTAAAGGCATGAGCTGTCCCCTTTAAAACTGTTTTAAAAGATTAACAATGACCGTCTTGGTTAATCTTGTAAACTCGTTGATGTGTTTTAAACACACTGTGCTGCTCTTTCCAAAGGAGAGTCGTCTGAATCGAGCCTCAGATGCTACAACTCTGAGGGTTCGTCTGGAGAAGGAGCTCCGTGACAACGCCAACATCAGCTGGGACAGGTTCAGCCAGGCGCCACACTTCGCTGTGGCTCATTATGCAGGCAGAGTGACCTACCAGATAGAGGGCATGGTGGAGAAAAACAAGGTAAGAAACGCCTTTTACCCGGTCGTTCTCAAACTTTGTTTTGTCRAGCCTGACCTCTGGAAAAACTTTCCACAAAGACGGTTCCAGCGGTTCTTCTGAGTCCAGAGCTTTTATTGCTTTCTGTAGCAGGGAGGGCAGTACATCAGACCCTAAGAGCTTTGCTCTTTTCTAAACCCACCCACAAGGCACGTAATCCCAAATACACACTAAAAAACACAAGTTGAACAGTTCTTTTAGCAACTTTATCTTTGCAATGTCCGAGCAGACATTGTCCCCTTGATTAAATCATGATTCAGTCAATTATCTACCCCACGTTAAAAGGTCAGGTTGTCATGCTATCAGGCTATCGACTGTGGAAACTTATTTTGCACGGAGGAACTTCATGCAGGGAGTTGAATACTCCCATTACAGATAAACATATTAAAATTCAACATACTAAATATCCATCACAAATAAAGATAAAATGATGCATCAAATACTCAAACATTCACTGCATGAACTGAAATTGTTACATTATAATCCTTTGGAGTGAAATAAAGTCGTTTTAAGATATTTTGTGCAAAATGTGACCAGGGTTGCCAGATTAAAACAAAAATATCTATTTTTGCCCCTCCTTTTTTGTGCATAGTTTCACCAAACACAACACATGCTTCGCCTTACAACACACTCACTCAGCACTGAGTGGGTCATAAATAAACGTTATCAGCTGTTTTTACTCAAAATATCATCTTTTTAAAAGCACAGTAAAACACTTTACTATGTCCCATTTGGCAGCCCTGAAGGTGACTAAGTTGTACGTTTACACCCTTTTTAACCACCCTTTTATCTGCTGATTTGAAACTGGGGTTTGTATTTTAGGACCCGGTACCACCAGAGCTTATCAGCCTGCTTCAGAAGTCCGACAACCCCCTCCTGCACCAAATCTTCTCTGACAAGGAAGCTGAGAACCAAAATACCAAAGGGCCCAGTAAAGTCACTGTGGTCTCCAAGTTCAAGGTTGGAAGCRTTCTTTGTTTCAGAGAGTGGACGGTCTGTCCTGGGGTCCTGGTTCTGATGATGTCATTAATGTTTGGCTGCAGAACTCACTGGAGAGCCTGATGAAGATCCTCCTGTCTACAACACCTCATTACACGCGTTGCATCAAACCCAACCCTGACTGCAAACCGCTGACCTTTAAAACAGAGGAGGTGGGTGTTCTGCTCTGGTTTCTTCTTCTCTTCTAAAAACACGTTTCMTCTGATTCCTTCTGTCTTCTGTCAGGTTATTATTCAGCTGGAGGCCTGTGGGATTGTAGAGACCATTCACATCAGCGCTGCAGGCTTTCCAATAAGGTAGAATGTGTTCATGCATCTGTTTTGTCTGTTAGCGAAATATCTCATAAACCAATGCATGGATTTTATTAAAACCCTCAAATCAAAATGATTGAATATGCATCTACAACTGTTCAACTTTTGGWGTCARTCCAGTTCAAGATGGCTGCCACAGCTGATCAGACTTTGAGAACACAAAAATGGCTACAACTCAGACAGTTTGGCAGAGATTGAGCTCAAATTYGGTTTGGTAGTAGCTGAGAGTCATTCCCAACTTCTAGTCCGAGGGCTAACAGGTGGTTAGCACAATATAAGATGACCACTAAAGCCTTGTAACCTCTTCAAGGAATGCTAGAGGTTTAACTGACCTTTTGAATAATTTCTCACTGCTTGTTTGACGATTTATTTTTATGTTTTCTGCACAGAATTCCTTTCAGAAGCCTCATGCAGCRTTATGGACTCATTACCAAATATTTACCATCAGGGAGTCATGATGCTGGTAAGTTCAATTATTTCTTGAGGCAAATTTCTGGTCAGTTTGGGCATGTTTATGTTGGCAAAGAGTGATTTTATTTCCTCTCTTCAGGTCTGCTGGTTTATTCCTCTTTCCCATCATTAGTCCTCTTAATAAAAAGTGATCCTCAGTTCTCTGCTCTCCTTGGGACTTTTCATTTTGGTCTTTAAAAAACAGGATTTGCTAACAATATTTGCAACATCTTGTAAGCGTTACAGGTAAATGCATGTCTGTCTGTCGCAGCCTGCTTTGCATGCTTTTCCACTCATGCTTTGGTGCTGTAGCTTTATTTTTTTATTCATTTTAATCCCACTGTTTGGCTGTTTGCTCAAAGCATACTTTTATGAATTTAGGGTAAAAAAAAAACTCGTGAAAAACATGACGGTAATTGCTTTATAATTTTCTTCAAAGTTTTATGAGTCTCCTAAAATAAAACTTACAGCTTTTGGTTTTCTCTTGAATTTTACCGCTGATGTTAATGTGAAGTTGATGTTTATGGRTTTTAAATATTTTGAGTTGGAAAGTCTGTGAAGCTTTGTGTTCTTAGGATTTAAAGTTCTTGTAAAAGGGAATTTTACTCTTTTTCTTGGCTAAAGTTTTATACAACAGGGCATGATAAAAACAAACCTGCTCCTGAGCAGATCTAAAAAGTAAAATATGTTTTTGAGTTGCTGCTTTTTTAAGGCTGCATTAACCTCATTTTAAGACCCAGGAATAATACTATGAACCAGGTTTAATATATTCAAAATATATGTAGCTATTTATCATAATTACAGTAAAATCACCCATAAAGTTGGGGGTGGTATTATACACAGAATGTACTACAACAATAAATTTACATATATTCTTGTGTATAACTGAAATATWGTGTCACTGGAAATAAATCGTCATCATTTGTCCCTCTGTCTTTCCACTGTTTGAGAGGGTTATGTTGGATGAGGAGGAAAGATTTGACTTTTTAATTTTTTTCCTCGATAAACTCAGAGATGGAAAGAAGAGGTGGATGTTAAACTTTCACCTGCTCAGCAGGACCTCGAAGCTGTTCATCTTACTTATTTAACAACCGGCTTCCCTTGGAGTGGATTATTTTCAGTGACATGTAGAAGCTTGCGCCGCTCCTCTGCAGCCACAAACACACCCACGAGTWTGTCTCGAAATGATGTTTCCCCACCAGAGGCTGCGCTGCAGAGGCTGAAAACTACTGAAGTCTATGCAGTCTTATCAAATTAGCTTTTAATGTTTTCCAGGTCGGGATAAGTCTGAAAAAATAAAACTTTCCACTTTCTAAAATAAACAATCTGAATTATTAAAAATAAATTCCCTGTACTAGCAGAGTGCCTTTCACACTCCTTATGTTTGAAAAGGTGGTAAGTTCGGCTTGCAGCTGTGACTGAGTGAGGAAAAAGTTATTCATCTCAACTTTATACTGAGTGCAACTTGTCAAAAGAAAATCCACTCCTAGAGCTTTTCTTCTKTGGATTAGGTCAAAAACCAGAAATAATCAGACATTTCCTTTTGTCGTGACTGTTAATGGAAAACTATGAAGTGAAACCCGGCCTTTATTTTGTCGTTAGTTCCAGTGAGCTCAGTCTCACTAAGACCAGTTTYATTTTTATTCATCTCATGGTGGAGATTTGATCTTATTTTCCTGAGAACAGGTACAAATGTTAGAGTAAATATTCAGAATATTGACAAGAKTGGTCAGGCTTTACATCAGAATATGTTGGACTGAACTGAAGTGTGTAAACGTTTTAAACAATAAATATCTTACCTGTTGTAGATGGTGATGGGCAGTGATTTTTTTCCATTAATGTGCTTTTTTTACATTTTTTACCATCCTCTCCCCTCCCCCAATAAACCACTAATATATAACACTTTCTTTATAGAAAAACTGAATAGTTACAAATTATTTTGAAGGTAAATTTTTAACTAAACGTAATCCGAATGAGAGAAAATTAGATTGTTACCATCGTAACACAACTCCACTCTTTAAATTTTTAGCAGTTCATGTGATGCTGATACCTTGTACATCGAGGATTATTTGCCTACAATTCAGTTGTTTTTTTWAATTTATTTATTTTATATTCTAACAAACAGAAATGGCAGCAGCAGCTGGAACTTGTCTGCTGCTTGGTGAGAGCAGCCTGGCAGGAATTTCTTAATATTGCTGCTAAAATAACAGCATAATGTGAAATTACTGGCATATAAAATGTGAGAAGGGGGTCTCTGCAGTCRCTAAAYGGGAGTTTTGTGGGAGGAGTTGTTCCAGAACACAACTGGTCTGTTGGTTAAAGACGTGATTGGTTGGATTGAATGTTTTGGGTGGGGCTTGTGGCTAGCTCGGTYGAAATRGCCAGGAAGCACATAACTCGAGAGAGGAATGTGCTAGCTGAGCAAAATTTGAACGACACACATTTGAAGCAGCCCTGACTTGCCTGGAAAAAGATTGTCCATTTTTTAATAACATTCATAGAATGAGACAGGAAAATGCAGGAAGTCAAAAAATTGTGTTGWTATGTTCACAGTCATTTTTATCAGAGACATTGTTCTGTTTTAAACTATAAATAGACAGTCATTAATTTTATTTAGGTTACATGTTCACAACAATTCTACTATTACCACAATGCTCCAAACTCCGCCCACAGATCAAGAAAACTCCCCCTATGTACTGCAGAGACCTTTACTTGCATTTGGTTGATCCAACATGAGATTTTAAAGAKTTGAGTTGTTTTAAAATGAAAAAAATCTGAAATTTGGTCCAGTTGGATTATATTGAGCTAATAATGGTTGTCCAAAGTTGTCAATCATGCCAAATATGACCGTTTTTTTCTGACACTTTTCAAAATAGCTCAGATATTTTCCTAACAGCTGTTTTTTACGGTGTGTGGCTAAAATCACATGAGCAAAAGGCTTCAGCGCACCTGTGCATAATTAATCTTACACAAGTTTGCTGCTACATGTTCAGTTGTAGCTTTTTTTAAGTTCTTCTTTGCCTTTCTGTGTTTAAAATTCCCAGTTTTCGTACACGTTTTTTCTGCTGTACTAAACCCGTCACCTTTTACCTCTCTGTAAAACGTCCTGTGCCCATCAGTCGTTCTTCTAATTACCTTTCTGTCTCAGGTTCGGAGGATGATTTTCTTTATCAGGAGGTGGAGAAGGTCCTCGAGGTGGTGTTGCTTCACCTGTCCTGTGAGGATCGCAGGTCATTGGTCCACTGTGGGAGGACTAAAGCCTTTCTCACCCAAACCATGGTCAGTAACTAAACATGGCAGGGAAAATGTCTGAAATGAATAAAACTTTTATTCATGTTCTGTTTGGACACATTCAGTTCTGAACATTTCATCGCTCTAACTTGACCCATCTGACTCGTCTCACAGCTGGATTTGCTGGAGGATCAGCGGAAGAAGGTCCTGTCCCGGTGTGCCTTCTCCATTCAGTGCTGCTGGCTGCGATACCAGCGCCGTAAACGCCTCGCCCGCCGGCAGTCTGCTGCTTTAATCCAAGCAGGTAAACTTGTTAAAGCCGGGGTCAGGTGCTGCTGAGTGGGCTTAGTAAAGCTGCGTGGCCTTGATCCCACAGAGTCTCCTGGTTTTGAACTTCGTACCTGGTGTCTRGCCAACAGGAAGCAGCTGCTGGTGTCTGTACAGTCTGAAATGTTACGATGCCACGTCTGAATGGACGTGTAAACCTTTGTAAACGTTTAGCGACGGAATGGCTCGGTTAGATGTTAACATGTTGTAACATCTGCAGCGGTCAGGTCCTGGCTGGTCAGGAAGCAGGTCCGGAGATGGAACCAAGCAGCTGCTGTGATCCAGAACACCTGGAGGAGGTGGAAGGTGAGGATCAAAACTAACGTCTAACATTCTGCATCATTTAATGCTCATTCTTTAGGTTTGGTTCAAAGTAGGAGTGTCCTGACATCATCAACGTTACAGGGACCTTAAAGGGGACACGTCATCTAAAATCCATCTTTTTTAACCCTGAAATACATTTTGTTGTGTACTTGAAGGAGTGTAGAAAAGTTTAATTTAGTTCTCCTGGTGCTGTGTAGATATCTTTATATTTTGTTTGTTTTTATTAAGTTCTATCTATTTTCTATGAGGTTTTCTGAACTATTACATCACAATATTAGTGATAGAGCTGGTCTAGACTCACCAACTATGAAATGGTGGTCTTCATTCTCCTCTGGCTCTGGGTCAGACTTTGGCTCCAACATGTAAGGCTGTTGCTGATATMTTTTAATTAATTTGTAAATAAAATGTTTCTGAGCTGCTATATAATTGTAAACCCCTCTATTATACTAAAACGAAGCACTGTAGAAGTTGGGGTGGGGGGTGAAGCGCCTCATGTGGATTCAAAGATACAGCCTCAAAACGAGCTGGTTTCTCAGAAAAGGGGTGAAAGAGGGGCTTGTGGAGTTACATTAAGGAGGATTTCAGACTAAAGCATTGCAGTTCTACGTTATATAGACMAGTGGTTCCCAAACTTTTCAGCCTTTGACCCACAAAATAGCAGCAGCAAAGACATGTGACCCCAGCTGTTGTCGGTTGATGAACATTGTTTTCACGTCAAAATAAGCAAGAGCATAGTATCATTATTTACTATGCTATTTTTCTCCATTTAAGTACACTTATTTTGTGAAAACAAAGGATAAAATGTTCATAGTTTTCATTTTTTAGTGTATTTATTTTAAAAAAATTTTCAGGACCCCACCTTGATGTTTCAGGACCCCGCTGTGGGTCCCTACCCCAACTTTGGGAACCACTGATTAGACCCCAACTGAATRATTTAAATGTGAAAAAGGGTTTTAAAGCATGTCTCTTTTAAAACACATTCTTTTATTGAAAATATGGTGTCTCCTTTATAGGCCTACAGCTGCTCTGACTCAAATCAAATATACAGCCTGATACAGTATAGACCGTTGAAATATTTTWAAAAAATAAAGTTTTTTTCCTCCACCTATACATTGCTTAAACATGGAAATAATAAACTTTTGACATTTGAAATCGCAGATTCTTTCATGTTCCGTAATTTAAAAAAAAAAAGCAAGGCCAGCAGGGAAACGCTGCACCACTAGTTCAAAGTTAACACATCTTTTTTCTCTTCATGGCAGGCCATGTTAAAATCCTTGGCTGAATCGGAACTCGACGATGCCGAGGACCTGGTTTCAGAAGACGTCCCAGAACTGAACCCTGTGTGTGAGCGCGGCTCGGTGCAGCTTTCCACCATTCAGGAGCCCGTCCCGGTGCGCGGGTGGCCCGTGGGCCTGGCGCTGGCCAGGGCCCCGTCCATCACGGTTTCTCTGACAGCGACGGGCTTCCAGAAGGTTCTGTCTGCGATGGTCTCCCTCAACCTGCCCTCCAGGAGAGGAGAGTACAAAGTGGAGACCAACCAGTACAAGCAGGGGCTSGCCTCCATACGTGCTCAGCCCAGAGTGAGGACACATTTCTCCCTGTTCTGGATGATGGTAATAACATCTGATGGAGTTACGTCACATTTGTTGTGTGTCTTCCCACACAGGGATCTGTAAAGYTGCACTACAAGCGATCACCGCTTCTGTATGCAGACATGCAGCCGGACCTGAASAGTGACGTGACGGGCTTCAATGAGATCCTGCTGGAAAAGACTTYGTAAGGATTCATTTTGCAGAACGACGTCATGATGGAGTGATCATCTGGAAATGTAAAGCTGTTTCTACAAAAAAAACATCCATCATGCAAGAAACAACCCTATTTCAGCATCAAATTTAAAGCATTTACCAAAAACTCATATTTTTATATTATACTGCTTTAAGAGCTTCCCTGGATGAAAGTAGCATTAACAAATCTAAAATGTACATTTTGATTTCTGGATCATCTTGATAAGGGCGGTTCCTACAGGATAACCCATAAACATTTGGTTTGAATCATATTTTTAGGTTACACTAATGAAAAATTTTTGATGTCACTTCAAAGAGGAAACTTCAAACTATATTTGGATTTAGAGAATTACAAGCTGGAAATAAAAAAAAGCTTTGCTAACTCACAGGGGAAAATGATGGAAATTTAAAGCTTTTCTGCTCAAAATCATGTTTTTTGTTGCTACAGGCCGTCACACTTTGTTTTAGACAACTTCTGCCAACATAGGAAAAATTTATGATTAAATCCCTCATATAGTTTGTATATTCAATCTGTTAGCGTTACAGTATGTGTGCATCCAACAGAGACTTGCAGTGGATTTTTTAAATCCCATCTTCAGCATTGTCTAGAACCTTATATTGTAACAGGGCCTTAATGCTTAAAAAGTAAAAAAAWTAAATTTCAATAAGGTAAATTCATTGCATTTTGACAAAATGCAAAAGTTTTAATCAAAGTACTAAAGCTGCCTTTTTCTCCACATACCACTTTGGGACCTAATTATTGTTAAATGTGATGGGTCATATTTATTTAGCCATGACTGGAGCCATATATCCAACATGTAGGAATAATAAATCTGGTTATTTCATCACGAAACAAAATCTTACGAAATCCGTCGTGGTGTGGCACAACGTTAGCACCTTAAAGGGACCGAAGCTGCWGGATCTGTGCAATCGCTGCTTCTTTTAATGTCTGCTAGTTGATCAAAGTGTCGTGTAATCTGTGTAATTATTTATTAGTGGTAGATGATTGTCAGATTTAGTGGAACATCTGGTTCCAGATGCCATCATTAGCATTGTGTTGCACATGAAAAACACAGCTGCAAAACGTGACAAGTGAAATTTAGAAACGTGAAATTCCAACATGACAGTAACTTGAAGTTTATACAGCGTAACTGGTGCATTTATACAAAACAATTTTTTTTTTATTTACTGATGTGTCTGGATAAAGAACAAACTTGATTATATTTTAGCTAATTAACTTTGACTCATTTTATTTCAGTGCAATATAAATTTTGTTCTGATTGAGCCCACTGCTCTGGCTCACATCTTTACTTTTATATTTATTCAGCTGTGGATTTATGTCAATGTGTCAATTTATATTTTGTAAAACCAGCTGTTTTTTCAGTGGTACCAAGAGGTTAATATGTACAACTTTCAATAAATGATCAGTCACAACATTTAAATCTCCTGTGAGTCACTGCTTAGTTATATATATAGAACGTGGGGGGGATGTTGGCAGGAGATATTTTGCACAGAGGCAACCTGYAGGTTACTGTTGAGGCTGCTTGGTGTTAAGATTTATATTTTAGTTTTCAGTTTGTTCAAAATGAATGAAAATGTTAAATTAAATAAAGTCATTTTATTGCCAACTTGTTGAAAACATTTCAGCATTTATTTGAACATTATAAAACAAACAGTGACAGGACAGGCTCAACGGAACAGTGGTCAAAAAATATTTTACAAATCACAATCATTACCAGATATAAATCCATTCGCTTCATTTTCAACAATTTTCAAACAGCAGTCTGAAAACTCTACGAACAGAGGCTCCTGCATGGCAGCCTTCATCGCCTCGTCTTTGTTCTCTGAGCCGTCGACGGAGCGCAACAACCGTCTCAGATGAGGGTTGCACAGAAGATCTCTTAGTTCTTTAGACTGTCCTGTAGAAAAACAAAATGTTAGTTACCTGAAGTGAAAAGGTTTTGGTAGTCTACGTTTCTCAAACACTTGCTGCYGCTAATAATAATAATGTTATAACAAGATGTAAATTGGATCATTACCTAACAACTGGAGCCTCTGCAGGGACACTTTGTCTATGACGTCATCTTCATGCAGAAGATCATCAACGCTCCACCGTTCTGCACAAACTGAAGGGGAGTTAACATTAACACATCCTCAGAATCAAATGCAGCTGTATGTAATCTTTAATTTAAACAAAATGTGATTGCAAAAATAATACCAGAGCTATYAGCATCTTCAGATTCAGGATTGAGTGAAGCAGGCCTCTCATCAGGAAGACAAGCATCTGCGGACAGAAACATAGGTTACAACTAAATAAATATATAAACAAAAATCCAGGGATCAAACTTACTCACCTATATGTTTCTTGTAACAGCCAAGTGAGCAACTGTAACAGACACAATGTAAAAAATTGTGTAAAAAAACAGTTGGTGACTGCCAGAAGGTGACTTTTTTATTGGCCTGGTTTTTATTTTAGATTATCTCTTTACTATAAATAACGCTGCTAGGATATAAACCCTTTTTGTGTTTTTCTCTTTTCTAAGCAGGACGTGGTATTTTATGTAATGCAAACATTTACAATAAAATGCACAATACATTTACGCATTTTGGATCTAATGAACAAACATTCCTAGTTAGTCTATATCAAGTCGACCTACAGAACCCAATAAGTTGATACTTAAGGTTTCTTAATCTTGAAGAAAGAAGATTTTGTGTTAAAGGTAACGGGTAATCTTAACTTTAGAACCTAAAACTATTTGTCCAGCTATTTAAACACAACACACATGGCATGGGGTTAGCCACCAAGCTAGCTAGCATGTCAACAATGATGTTTACTTACTATCTTATTTTGCAGGTTGGACATCTGTATTTTGGTGTCTGCTCGTGGCACACATTGCAYATCTGCATTGTTTTAACAGGACAAAGAAATTTGTAAACGGACAAAAACACGAAGTCTGACTACTTCAAAATAAGCTTCGTTTCAAAATAACACATGCGCCGTGTGGAAGCGATTACTTCCGGTTAAGGATTTAGTCTTTCGAAGTAAGAGCACCTATTTCCGGTGTAGAAAACTCAGCTTTAATACATTTTATACTACAACACATTATACTGCACCACGCTTTCTTTCTGCAGGAAATCATATCACTGTACAGTTAAAACAGTAAACTTAATTACTTCTGCTTTTAGTAAGWAATTTGTAAACGGACAAAAACACSAAGTCTGACTACTTAWAAATAGCACATGCGCCGTGTGGAAGCGATTATTTCCGGTTAARGATTTAGTCTTTCAAAGTAAGAGCACCTATTTCCGGTGGAGAAAACTCAGCTTTAATAAATCTACTATAAAACATTAAACTGCACCACGCTTTCTTTCTGCAGGAAATCATATCACTGTACAGTTAAAACAGTAAACTTGTTTACTTCTGCATTTAGTAAAGCCATCTAAAATTTAACCCTTAATTGTCCCTCCTACAAAAGCTGTAATATTCTGTTTTCATATATGATCCCTTAGTAAGTGACAACAGCTTGCTTTAGAATACAATAAACAAACAAAGCAGACACTCTTAATTAAGACAATATTTTATTGAATTAAAATACAGCATAATATCCTCTGCAACTAAAGACATAACCATAACCAGTATGCAAACATATTTACCAAACAGCGTATACACACCACTGACCTAAATAACACATTTATTCTTGCACAGCTGTAACATGAGATGGGTGGCTCCTGTTACAGGGTAGGAATGGAGTGCGGTCTCGTGACCCATTAAAGGGCACGTCCACCAGGTCCACAACCTCCATTTGCTGGATCAGGGAAGGGCAGGGAGGCTCGGCCATGATCGAGAAGTCCCAACACGTGTCTGGATCTGTGAGAAGGAAAATGTTCAGGAAATCTTTTAGAGAGTTCTGAGAGTCAAGGTGACATGAGGGCAAAAATAAAAAAAGAGTTGATCACAACAAACAAATTTTATATAAAATTAAATGTTTGCAGTAAATTTGACATATTTGGTCCTTTAAAACATTTTTGGCTTGAAACAATAACAATAACCAGACTGTTTTTTCTGCTGAGCATGCTTTTTGGGCGTGACCTGCTCGACGAATCAGCAATGGTTTTTATTTTATACAAGAAAAACATAAAAGCTCATCAAAGTTACAATGTTTATTCTTCAGGGGGGCGAAGTGGAGTGTGCTGACAGTAAAAACGAGTCCTACCCGTAAACTGGCTCCTCACAACGACGAGCTCTTGGTTCTCCTGCGCTTCATTTGGCTGTTGTGAAACTTCTCGGCTATCTTCCTCTCGTGTCCGGCGGGGCTGTGTCGGTTCGTGTTCAGCTCCATCTCCCTCTTGGACCGGCCTTTGCCACCGGCGTGGCACGGGTACTCTTGCAGGTTGTARTAATCGTACTGGTCGTAAAAGGCCTCTTCGAAAGAGGCCAGTCTRTCCAGATCCGCGGCCATGATTTCAGCTCGCTCGCAAAACAGCAGCACTCGAAGTGAGTAAACAACAGATGACGCAACCCCGTGTTTATATACGCCTGGTCACGTGACCACGCCTGGGTGCGCGCAGGCTGCATGGGTTTGTTATTACACAGGTTCTGGGGCAGTGGTGTATAAAGTACACCAGTAGTATAGAGTAAAAGTACAAGCATCTTATCATAAAAATMCTTKGGTAAAGGTTAAAGTCTTCCCTAAAAATACTACTTGAGTAAAAGTCTTAAAGTATCTCATATTTTTTGTACTAATAAGTATTAAAAGTAAAAGTACTGAGTAAAAGTGAGCAGTTAGATTTTCCAAAATGACATTTGTTGGGAGGTGACTTATCCAAAAAATATTTTTTCTAACGGTGTGCAGCTGTGATGGGTTGTGTACTATAGGGCAGTGGTTCCCAAACTTTTTATCTTCTGACCCAAAAACTATCCATGGCAAAAACKTGTGACCCCAAATATTACTGGTCTGAGTACACAAAATTCGTTAATAACCCTAAAAACACAGGCTTTTTGACAATCTAAACAGCTTGTACACAAATATAAATACTTATTTATACTTATTTTGTGTTTTGTAATAATTATAAGGAAAATGTTACATCAGAAATTATTTTATTACCCTTTAAATTGATTTCTGGAGATTATCCAAGGTGCTTCATGACCCATAATTGGGTCCCAAGCCCAACTTTGGGAATCAAAGTGCAGTGGTTCCCAAACTTTTCAGCTTTTGACCCACAAAATAACAGTAGCAGAGACCTGTGCCCCCAACTATTTTTGGATGATAAAAATTTGTATCAGGTCAACAAAACATGAGCATAGTAACAACATTTTTTATACTGCATTTATCTATTTTAAATATACTAACCTCACTCCTTTGTAAAAACTAAGGCAAAAATGTGATTAATTCAGAAAATCTTTTCAGGACCCCACCTTGATGTTTCGGGACCCCACTTTGGGTCCCGACCCCAACTTTGGGAAACACTGCTATAGGGTGTCAGAATGGTATATATTTATACTACTCATCCAGCCACAATTAAATTCATTCTATCCAGGAGACATTTTATCAGGATAGGATTTTTTTTAGGGAATAACAACTCGGATATGTTGACTGGATGATTGAAAACCAACAACCATTTGAAGGCATGCCGATCATCTGGTTTGGGTGGGGAAACTCTTCAACACTCTTTGTTACAATGTGTATGTCTGTGTGTATTTATTGTTCTGCTTAGGTAAGCTATTACCATTTATGACGCTATGTATGAAAATGAAAAAATACTATTAATTTTATGTCTTGTATTGTAATTCTCTGTAGAAAAAGATGACTAAAGCTTGAATCAGATGTGGGAGGAGCCAGAACAGAGTCAGAAAAAATCCACCTCTGCATCAGTGGCAGCAGCCAGTATCTTCATCCCAGGCAGCACAGCAAGAGGGAAAAGGCTGACTATTCAAGAAAAACTTGCTATAGAGTTTCATGAGCAAAAATTTCAAATTGCAATCTAAAAGAAGAACATGAAGTGAAGATGAAAATCCTTCAAGTGGAATTGTCAGTCAAAGAGATGGAAAGACATGAAGCAGCAGCAACAGCAGCAAAACCTCTGTTTTTTTCTAACCATGCCTCTGTTGACCTTGTGTCATCATGAAATAAAAATATTCCATTACAATCATGATTCAACAAAAATTTATTCAAGAATAAACCATATTTTYTCCTCTTAACTATTTGCAAAATGATAAATGCAGTCAAACAAAATCAAACTGATAACTTGTGCATCACTCAACTGTTTATCTTCATAAAAAGTGCTGCACAGCAAAGCTGTTTCTATAAGCATGTCCAGTTTGATCAATGGCTGAAACAAATAATTATTTAAGCTGCAGTGTTTTTGTTCATACAAAAACAGTCACWGAAGTCTGTATAGTCAGCAGGTCAGCAGGTTGCTTCTGTCTCAGAGAAATCTCCTTTCTGGTCTTTGTGGTGGTCTTCCAGCATCATTGATGTAGTAAAGTCAAGATAATCCATTTTGCACATCCACAGGGAAGCATACAGCCTTTAATCTGAAGTTAAACCCGCCTCTAGCCAGGTTTAAGTCTTCATTTAGACCTGGATTAGCTCTAGTCTTCCTCTAAGAAAGAAAATTATTTAATTCAAGACTAGRACAAATCTGGGACTACTGTAATCCATAACTAAGAACGCTGTTTCAATAAATCCTGGTTTAAAATGTGATTTAATCTAGACYTAGGCTTAATCCCTTACGGGAAACCAGCCCTTGAAGTTTAAGAAAATAGCCTGCATTYTTTAATCATCAGTAAAATAAACAATGCAGCCTAGACCACTAGTTTTTTCAAGGTAATGGCTCCTAATCTTTTCGGCTTTTGACCCACAAAATAACATCAGTAGAGACATGTGCCCCCAGCTATCTCTGTTTGGTAAACATTGGTATCAGGTAAAATAAACAATGGCATATATTTTTCAGTC